TGTAAATAGTGCTGCTGTAAACATTGGGGTGCTTGTATCTTTTCGAAATAGAAATTTTGTCTTTTTCAAGTACATTCTCAGGAGTGGGATTGCTGGATCTTACAGTAACTGTTTTTAATTTTTAAAGGAACCTACATAATGGTTCTTCATAGTGACTGTATCAGTTTACGTTCCCACCAACAGTATAGAAGGGTTCTCTTTTCTCCATGTAGACTTTCTGATGATGGCGGTTCTGACCAGTGTGAGGTGATACTTCATTTTAGTTTTGATTTGTATTTGCCTGATGATTAGCGACACTGGGCATCTTTTCATGTTCCTGATGACTCTGTCTTTGGAGAAATGTCTTTTTAGGTCTTCTGCCCATTAAAAACATTTTTTTTTTAAAAAAATCCTGAGCTGTATAAGCTGTTTGTATATTTTGGAGATTAATCCATTGTCGGGTACTTCATTTGCAAATACATTTTCCTATTCTGTGGGTTGCCTTTTCGCTTTGTTTATGGTTTCCTTTGCTGTGCAAAAGCTTTTAAGTTTAATTAGGCCCCATTTGTATATTTTTGCTTTTGTTTCCATTACTTTAGAAGACAGATCCAAAAATATTGCTGCAGTTTATGTCTAAGAGTGTTCTGCCTATGTTTTCCTCTAAGAGTTTTATGGTATTTGGTCTTATATTTACATCTTTAATCCATTTTCAGTTTATTTTTTTATTTGGTGTTAGAGAATGTTCAAATTTCACTTTTTTAAACAGGCTGCTATTCGGTTTTCCCAATACCACTTTTGAAGAGATTGTCTTTTTCCATTGTATGTTCTTGCCTCCCTTGTAGATTATTTGACCCTTAGTACATGGATTTATTTCTGGGCTCTGTTCTGTTCCATTGACCTATGCCTTTGTTTTTGTGCCAATACGATACTGTTTTGATGATTCTACTAGTTTTGTAGTATAGTGTAAAGTCAGGGAGTATGAATCCCCCCCAGCTCTGTTACTCTTTCTTAAGATTGTTTTGGCTTTTGTGTTTCCATACAACTTATAAAGTTTTCTTCCCTAGTTCTGTGAAAAATCCCATTGGTAATTTGATTGGATTGCATTGAACTTGTAGACTGCTTTGGGTAGTATGGTCATTTTAACAAAATTGATTTTTCCATTCTAAGAACACAGTATATCTTTCCTGTTTGTGTCATCTTCAGTGTCTTTCATTCATGTCTTAAGAGTTTTTGGAGTACAGGTATTTTGCCTCCTAAGGAGGTTTATTCTTCAGAAGTTTATAAGGCATTTTATTCTTTTTGATGCAGTGGTAATGGGATTGTTTCCTTAATTTGTCTTTCTGATCACTTGTTGTTAATATATAGAAATGCAAGATTTCTATATATTAATTTTGTATCCTGCAACTTTACTGAATTAATTGATGATCTCCAGTATTTTTCTGGTGGTGTCTTTAGGATTTTCTATGTATAGTACCATGTTACCTGCAAACAGTGACAACTTTACTTCTTTCTTCCCAGTTTGATTTCCTTTTGTTTCTTTTTCTTCACTGGTTGCTGTGGCTAGGACTTTGAAAACTATGTTGAAAAAAGGTGGTGAGTGTGAGCATCCTTGTCCTGATCTTAGAGGGAATGATTTCAGCTCTTCCCTGTTGAGTATGTTGTTAACTGTGAGTTTGTCATATGTCGGTTTTACTGTGTCGAAGTGTGTTCCCTCTGTACCCACTATCTGGAGAGGTTTTTTTTTTTTTAAATTATAAATGGATATTGAATTTTATCAAAAGCTTTTTTCTGCATCTACTGAGATGAACATTCAGAAAACTAAGATCATGGCATCTGGTTCCATCACTTCATGGCAGATAGATGGGGAAACAGTGGAAACGGTGAGAGACTTAATTTTTTGGGGCTCCAAAGTCACTGCAGATGGTGACTGCAGCCATGAAATTAAAAGACACTTGCTCCTTGGAAGAAAAGTTATGACCAACCTAGGCAGTGTATTAAAAAAGCAGAGACATTAGTTTGTCGACAAAGGTCTGTCTAGTCAAAGCTGTTGTTTTTCCAGTAGTCATGTATGGATGTGAAAGTTGGACTATAAAGAAAGCTGAGTGCCCAAGAATTGATGCATTTTGAACTATGGTGTTGGAGAAGACTCTTAGAGAGTCCCTTGTACAGTAAGGAAATCCAACCAGTCCATCCTAAAGGAAATCAGTCCTGAATATTCATTGGAAGGACTGACATTGAAGCTGAATCTCCAATACTTTGACCACCTGATGTGAAGAACTGACTCCTTTGAAAAGACCCTGATGCTGGGAAAGATTGAGGGCAGGAGGAAAAGGGGACGACAGGATGAGATGGTTGGATGGCATCACCAACTCAATGGATATGAGTTGGAGTAAACTCCGGGAGTTGGCGATGGGCAGGGAGGCCTGACGTGCTGCAGTCCATGGGGTGGCAAAGAGTCAGACACAACTGAGCGATGGAACTGGCTGACTGAGATGATAATATGGTTTTTATTCTTCAGTTTGTTCATGTGATATATCACATTGATTGATTTGAGGATGCTGAAAAATTCTTGCATCCCTGGATTAAATTCCATTTGATCATGTGTTATTCATTTAATGAGGGCCTATGCTTTATATTATCAGGACTTACACTTTTTGCCAGCCTTATGGGAGTGATGTGTGCTGTGTGCTAAGTCACTTCAGTCGTATCCAGCATTTTTGCGACCCTACGGACCATAGCCCGCCAGGCTCCTCTACCCATGGGATGCCCAGACAAGAATACTGGAGCGGGCTGCCATGTCCTCCAGTTTTAATTTCTCTGATAACTAGTGAAGAGGAGCATCTTTTCATGTTTTCCAGTTTTTCTCCTTTATGACTTGCATTTCCTGTGTACTTTCAGGAATGCTTTTATCTCTCAATATTATTTCTGTATTTTTCCTCTACAATTTTGGATTAAAACGTAGCTGCTTTAGTTCTCTTGGGGTTTATTTTCATGTATGTTGAGATGGGGATTTCTAATGCTTCTGTACCATTAACTGTCTCAATATTATTCTTCACCAGTTTGTAATGTCGTTCATTTTAGGGGAACGACATTTAGGGATACTCATTATCCACATTCAACAGTTCTTAAGTATTTGCCATGTTCGCTTCATTTTTGCCTTTTGAAGCATAGTCCAGGCCTTAGTTTACTTCACTCCTGTATACTTCAACATGCATTTTATTATTACACCATCAAAATTAACATTTTTAATCGTATTATCTAACAGTTAATTCCATGCTTAGATTTGTTTGTCTCAAAAATGTCTTTTTATGGTTGGTTTGTTTAATCAGGGTCCTTGTATTGAACTTGGTTTTTTGTGTTTCTTAATTTCTTTTAAAAATTTCGAGCATTTTAGCAAAATACCTTCCCCCAGTCTTTTTTGTTTTTCCTAACATTGACTTGTTGAAGAAATAAGTTGGTTTGTCTCTCATATTCCACATTCTGGATTTGTCTATTCCTTTATGGTGTAATTTAGCTTGTTCTAACTCCACATACTCCATAAACTAGAAGTTATTTTTACAGACTTAAGATTTAGGCTCAGCTTCTCTGGGGTCAGGGAGAAGATACTTCATAGGTGGTGTTGGTACTTCATATCACATCACATCTGAAGGCACTTAATGTATGACTGTTTCACCCACTCTGTTTCTTGCCACTGTTAAATGGTAAGATCGAGTGAGTGGGATTCAAGTGGGTTCAGCTGGCTTCCTTCGTAATAAAGTTTTAATTTAATGGTTCATTCATTGATAGTGCTGTTCTGATTGCCATTCCTCCATTTATTAACAAATTCTCTGCCTCTAATTGATGAGGCAAAAGAACAACTTTGCTTCATCAATTAGAGATACATAGTTACCCTGAAATCTGATTGGTACACTAAAGCAGGATAAATGGTCTACTTTCCCTTTAATTTGTTGGTGTTCAGAGTAGGGAGTTGGTTTTCAATTAGTTTCAGTAGTGACCAATAGGGTTTTTAGATCAGTATTGAAGACTTGAGTATCATTAGTTTAGATTTTTTTTTTTTAGTAATCGTCTGTGTAAGGTTGGTTTAAATTAACTAGTTCATCATTACCTGAAATAGAAGTCAAGTCTTTTAACTGTGTGTTGCCCTATCATTTGATTTTGGAAAGAGGGTGTGTTTTTTAATTTTAATGACATGTAATATCTTAATGAAAACATTAACTCATTTTTCTAATTCTTATATTTGGTTTGTTGTGAAATTTCAGGTTTTCATGTGTTTTTTTGGTCATTTACTTTTTCCTGTCCTTTTATTATTCATGGTTTTTCCCTCTTTGTTGACTTTCATCTTGATTTATGAAGGCTTTTTTCTCTGAAGAATGTTAGCACTTGTTTCGTGTTGCAGTTTACTCCCCTAATTTATAATTTGCCTTAATTTTTTAAAGTTACACTTTTGGAAGAGATTATAATAGATACAGAGGTTCTTTATACAGATGTCCTGCATAGCCTGGCAGTCTTTGTATCAGTCTTGTAAAGTATTAACCTCTATTTTCGTTTAGTACTTCTGTTTTTACATATTTAAGTATTTTAATATATATGAACATAAGTGCTAATGCTTTGCTCCAAATAAGTTTACTTTATATATTGACACAAAATAATATGTCTTTTGTCTAAGAGAGCTCTGCTGATGTTAAACACTTTCAAAATATTCACTGTTCTTAGGTGACATAAAATAGCAGAAAAATCTACCTTGTTAAGCAAGTAGGTAATTTATAGATAGATTTGTGGTTAATTATGCAAAGGCAAAATTTTAAAATATTAAAACATATTTCTCAGAAAAATGTAGTACTAATTGTTATATATATTGTATATTTATTGTATTGTATACAATATATATTGTATATTTATATATATATAATATAATTGTGTGTATATAATATCCTTATCAGTATTTTCATATTTTTGTATACTTGACTAGTGCATTTATTTCCTTTCTATAATAATTGATTTTATTCTGTTATTTTCGGTAGACACTTGGCATTTCACCTGGAGAGAAATTTGTCATTACAACAACAAGTAGGAAAGAAATTACCAGTGATAACTTTGGTAAGCAGCATTGCATTTATGCTTTTATATTTAATATGTTCTAGTACATTATAAGGTAATGACTATTTTATTACATAGATAAGCATCAAAAACTCTTGATATTTTTGTTTACTTTGTTGAAATGGGGGAGGAAACTGGCTCTGCACATCTGCTTTGTGCAGAGCTCATGCTTTTCAAGCATGGTTATAAGAAAAGAGTTGTCACTTGCAGCTGCAAACAACGAGGCCTTGCTCAGCACCCAGCCGCAGAGCTGCTTCACGGGCCCTTAAGAGCTGCTTCTCCTCACCGACTTGGAGTCCTCCGTTATCCTTTTCTACCCAGTTACATTCTAAGACGTGCCAGTTTTCCATGCCTGATTCCTTTTTGGATTTAATCATTCTTCCCATTCATATTGATAACCACTTTAATTAGTTCCTCATTTGATTTTCTGTGACAGTTTGACTTAAGAATTGAGTGTTTCAGATGAGTGGAAGTATTTGGACCTATTCCACTGATATTCTTAACACAGCGCAACTGATTATAGATTAGTCCATTGTTTGGGGATTTGCCTGTATGATTTTTTTTTTTGGCCTGTATGATTTTTCAAGTCATTTCATAGATGTAATTTATATATTTAAAATTATAAATTCATTGTGTTTTGGGTGCTGGCTTAGCACTTAAGATGTTACCTCTTGATTTCAGATGAAACTGTTAAAGATGGAGTCACTCTATACCTGCTACAGTCAGTCAATCAGTTACTGCAAACAGCTACTAAAGAACGAATTGACTTTCTACCTCACTATGACACATTGGTTAAAAGTGGCATGTATGAATATTATGCAAGTGAAGGACAAAATCCTTTACGTAAGTATTCCATTTGTACTGATTGTGATAAACTGTCACTCACCTTTATTCCCTTGATCAGACTTTAAAAGTTCTTTCATTCTATTTTATTCAAAGACTATGATCAGTTCTTGTGAACCTCCTTACTTCATCTCTTCATCACAATATATTTCCTTTTCTACCTAAGTCATCTTACATCAAAGTAAAGATACCTCTCCTTTAAAACTAACGTAAAATGAGAATTCATTCCTTTTCAACTCATAAGAGATGGTGTCCTTACACATCTACCTCCTGTACACTCTCCTTTCCTGTTATTCTTCCTAGCTTCCTAAACTCTTCTCCCAGTTGAGAAGATATTTGTTATACCTTGCACATTTTTTGTAGCTGAACCGCACAACTAAGTGGTTTGTGTTCTTTATTGTTGCTTTATCATTTCTTCCCACCTTTACTATTAGACAGTTTTTGTCCTACCTTGGATTATTTTGATTTAGAGAATCTCTTCCATCTGGACTCTGCAAAAGTGTTCAGGTATTCATTATAAGCTTGCTTTCTTTTTTTGACCACATGGCTTGCAGAGTCTCACTTCCCTGACCAGGGATTGAACCTGGGCCTTGACAGTGAAAGCCTGGAATCCTAGCCACTAGGTCACCAGGGAGCTCCCTATAAATTTTCTTTCTTTTAAAAAAAATTTATTTTTGGCTGCACTGGATCTTCACTGTGGCACATGGGCTTAGTTGCCTCACAGCGTGTGCTGTCTTCCCAGACTAGGATCGAATCTGTCCCCTGTGTTAGCAGATGGGTTCTCAACCACTGAAACACTGGGCAGGTCCCCTATAAACTTGGTTACTAAATGTTTTTTTCATTGTATATGCATTAGAGTTGGTAGAAAATTAGAAAACATAGATAAACAAAAACAACACAAAGAACATTCCTATCTCTACCACCCAGATGTAACCACCACCAACACTTTGGTGTTTATTGTTTCAGACCTTTTCATATATATATATAAATACATATATATATATATTTTTGGTATTATATGGTGCATACTTTTTTTTTTCCCTTTTGTTGTGCCACATAGCTTATGGGATCTTAGTTCCCTGACCAGGGATTGAACTCAGGCCCTTGACAGTGAAAACCCAGAGTCTGCACTACTGGACTGCCAGGGAATTCCTCATGCATTCTTTTTAAACCAACCTTTTAATTTAAAATGTAATGAACATCTTTAACATGTATGTTAATATATATTTATTTTAGGGCTCACACAGTATTTAGATAACGTAATTTATTTGAACACTATACTGTTTTTTGGGGGACGAAAGTCCCAAACAACAAAAACTGTTGCTTTGGGGTAAAGAATCTGCCTATAGTGAAAGAGACCCACTTGACGCTAGTGATAAAGAACCTGCCTGCTGGTGCAGGAGACGTAAGAGACATGGGTTCAGTCTCTGGGTCGGGAGGATCCTCTGGAGAAGGGTATGGCAACCCACTCCAGTATTCTTGTCTGGAGAGTCCCAGGAACAGAGGAACCTGGTGGTTTACAGTCCATGGGATCTCAAAGAGTCTTGCACAACTGAAGCAACTTAGTGCACAGACACCTACACACATACTGCTGTTACTAGACATTCAGGTTATTTCAGGTTTTTTTTTAATTGTTACAAATGACTGAATATTCTCCTGACTAATTCTTGTACTTCCTTACCTTGACTGCTGCTAGTACTGTCACTACTCTCAGCTGCAGAGCCAGACACTGTGTCAAGTGCTTTATGAGCATTTTCTCATTTGATCCTTAATCCTGTGTGTTAGCTAACATTAGGTAATGACCTAGTTTTGCAGAAGTAACTGAGATAGGCACAGTTTTACTCTTTCCATTAAGCGTGGTCTGTTCCAGCTCCCTGTGCATCACCTCTACTCATTATTGAGCTTGGTACAGTGGTAGGACATCACATCTAAAACTGAATTTTTCTGTCCTTCCATCTGAATTTTCCCTTTATGGAAAAAGATGACCATTTTTCCAGTCTTCTAGAACAAGCACTCAAAGCCACCTTGAATTTCTTTTTCTTGCTCCTTTTATATCTAATCAGATACTAAATTCTACTCATTTTTTCCTTTGAAATTTCCCTTAACTCTTTTTCGTCCCATTTCCTACAGTGTCCCTACTTCTCCATTTTCTAGTTAATACCCTTCGCCAGATCTTTATACATATCTGATTTGTGATGACTACTTTCCAACTAGTTTATAAATGGAGCCATCCCCTACATGTTTAGCATTTGGAAGTGCTTGCTGGAATGCTACTTTGTGGGTTAATTACAGCTTAAGTTGAGTTACACTTCGCTGAAAGAGGTGTTAATTTAGTATGCTCACCCTTTTAATTAAGGAGATAAAAGTGGGAAGTAGTTTGGATACTGACCCTGGAGAAAGGAGAATGTTAGAAATAGCACTGCTGCTGCTGCCAAGTCACTTCAGTCGTGTCTGACTCTGTGCGACCCCATAGACGGCAGCCCACCAGGCTCTACCATCCCTTGGATTCTCCAGGCAAGAATAGTGCTGAACCACTGATAAACTGAAAGTCAGGCTGGTTGTATAGTAGGAAATTAAGAGCAGTTTTGTGTCAGTTAAGCAGATACATTCTGCCATTTCACAAAGTTGGTGTTGCGAGATACCTGTATTTAAATTAGCCCTTAATAGACACTTTTATATTTGTCCCATATCCCTAAATGTGCTTACTTTTGACTTGTGCATGATGTAAGTACGTACCACAGACTATTATTTGATTTTATGGTTATGGTCTTCTGTTTGTCTCGTGTGTGTATGTCTGTCTTTAGATTATAAACTCCTTGAAGCCAGGAATCATGGCTGGCTCACTCGTGCTGTGTAGTACCATACAAGTACTGGTTGGTGACTGCTTTTTTTATGCTGTTGGTGACTGATGATGCCTTATTATGTTTGTGTCATTAGGATCAGGATAATACTTTAATTTTAGCTCTTTGGAAAATAAAAGTGATGGCTTAAGGTACTTCAGAGTTCCTTCTTCTTTGAACTTTTATATGATGTATTTAGGAGGGAAAACTTAAGCAGTAATGTTTTCTCACTCTCTTCCAGCATTTGCTCTTGCAGAATTAATTGACAATTCTTTGTCTGCTACTTCTCGTAACACTGGTGTTAGAAGAATACAGATCAAATTGGTAAGAAAATAATACTCTAAGTCAAATTAACTTGTGTTTTTATGGAAGTACTGCACGTTTATTGGAAAAAAATTAAAATATTAACTAAAAGTAGAAATAATTATCTGATGTCTCATTAAAATTTTTTCACTTGCCCTTTTCCTATGCATATATGTATACATATATGTGTGATCATAGTGTATGTTTTGTTTGTGATCTTCTATTTTCCCTTAGAAGTAGATTGTAAACATTGCCTTATCATGGCTATTCTGCAATGTAGTACACCACTGATGCAATTTGGTTTATTGAATGTAATATAAATTATGTAATCAGTCTATGGCTGTTGAACATTTAGATTTGTTTCCCTTTGTTTTTGCTATTGTAAGCAGTGCTGATATCAGGAGCACCCTTATAGATCTTTGTACACATCTCTGACTAGTTCTCAAGCTACATTCTGAGAAATGGAATTTCTAGGTTAAAGGACATGAAAAATTATAAGGCCTTTGGTTCATATAGCTGGATTGCCTTTTAGAAAGTTGTATTAATATACACTTCTCCAGCAATGTATGAGTGAGCCCAATGAGTCACATTTTTTATATTGAACTTTTCATGTTTTTAATATTGATACGACTTTTCCTGTCTTTTTGAACTTATCTCATAGCATTTTGATGAAACACAAGGAAAACCTGCCGTTGCAGTGATAGATAATGGAAGAGGAATGACCTCTAAACAGCTTAACAACTGGGCCGTGTATAGGTTGTCAAAATTTACAAGGCAAGGTGACTTTGAAAGGTTAGAGAACCTTACTCACTTTTTTATGGGCAGCTGGGTGTTTTAATAAAGAGAAGAACTCTTCTATTTCTTTAGTTATATATGTTATCAGCATATTTATTTAGAGTTTTATAATAAAACAGTTTTTAAGATCAATACTTAAAAAGGCAAAACTGCATAAATCATATTGTACCCTTCATTGAGTGATTCTTTCTGCATTTCCTGAGGTGTGTAGGAGTTAGGTTGATATGTTGCCTACTGTGGAGTTTTCCCCCTTTTCTTAATAACTTAAGTTTGAAGAAAGCTGTATAGTGTCTAGAGCAGTAGAATGTTTTTTAAGTGGGCTTTAGAAATCACCTGATACCTCATGCAAAATGTCCAGGGAACCACATGTAGTACTCTGGAGCTCACTGTGGCTCTTTCAGGGATCTGCTTTGCAAAATGTTCACAGCTGTTAGGGAGTAGAGTCTAGGCAAGAGTTTTGTATGGGAATATGTAGAAAATATCCTGAATGAGAATGTCATAGAGGAAACGAAGTATACTCAGAGCTGTCAGGGATATAAAGATTTAGGTCCTTGAGATAGGTGAATTCTACTTAGAGCCATGACTCACAGTGGGATTGATGTTTAAGCTATGTTTTATAATTCAGGAAACAAATGTGGGGAGAATCTGCTAACATTCTTATTAAGAAGTTAGTATTTATTCATGTCCTATTTCCTGTGCTCTTTGTTATATCAAGGAAAGTCACCCAAATTTAAGGATCTGTCTCAATAATGTGTAAAATTAATATACTTAATGCATTTGCCTTCTCATTTCTGAGATTTCAGCACTCAGAGTTTTCATCAACTTTGTAAAGCCTTCTGTGCCATGATGAAAGGCAGTTAGTGAAAAGCAAGGGCTCTGGGATCATTTGGCCTTATCTGAATTCTCTAGCTTTACTAGTTGTATGACACTGGTCAAGGTACTTTACTTTTGTCTCAGTTTACGTATCTGTCAAATGGGGATAATACCTTCTAAGGTTTTGTGAAAACCAAATGAGTTAGTGCATGTAAAATCCTTAGAGCCTGGCAAATGATAAGCAGTCAGTAAATACAAGCTATCATGGTAGCTATTCGGAGAAGGCAGTGGCAACCCACTCCAGTACTTTTGCCTGCAAAATCCCATGGACGGAGGAGCCTTGTAGACTGCAATCCCTGGGGTCGCTAGGAGTTGGACACGACTGAGCGACTTCACTTTCACTTTTCACTTTCATCCACTGGAGAAGGGAAATGGCAACCCACTCCAGTGTTCTTGCCTGGAGAATCCCAGGGACGGGGGAACCTGGTGGGCTGCCGTCTGTGGGGTTGCACAGAGTCAGACTCGACTGAAGCGACTTAGCAGCAGCATGGTAGCTATTCCTTCTCATTCTTGGCCTCAGATTTTTCTACAGCTGTTCTTACTCACCATTTTCATGAGTACATGCCACTTCAAAGATTTATAAAATAGCCAAAAAGAAGACAGTGATCTTTCATAGTCTAAAGATAGAATTTAGCATAAGATAGAAATATTTGGTAGAAATGAAAGGAGAACAGATGGCAGATTGGGGCAGAGGGTCAGAAAAAATGTTAGTTAAATCAAGTGGAAGAGTTGAAAGAACTGGAGCCTTTTAAACCTAATTCAAATCTTAGGGAAATTTTAATTTTTGGAAGAAGTCTACCTGTTGTTGGATCTGATCCTAGCTTTATGGATATTGCATCCAGAAACACAGTTGTTACAGCCGTCATGTACTCATACTGTCTGTGACCCCAGCACCATCAGTCCCTTGGCTCAGTCCAGTTTCTCTTGTGTCAGTTGTAACCCCCGCCCCCGCACTTCTCTAGCTTCCACTCCTATAGAGAAAATGATCAGCTGTTTTACTGCTTCCAGTTAAGTTTTTTTTCCACTGAATATAAGGATGTTCGTATATAGGGAATAAGCTATGGAAGAAATGGAAGGATAGCCTAAAAATACAAAGCAGCTGTCTTGTCTGTAGTTTATGTTGTAGTGGAGGAAAAGCCTAAAGTAAACCAAAAAATATATAAGCACTTCAGTTATTGATAAGAAAATATCAAGTAACATGTTAGAGCCTGATGGCTGTCTTTTTTAGGTGAGGTGATTAGAAGAATTAGAAGAGGTGATTTGAGGTTACATTTCAGTTGAGGCTTGAGTGATTAGAAAAGAAACACCCAAAGTGAAAATCTAGGGCGAGAGCATTCCAAGTAGAAGGACATCAACAAAGACAAAGACCCTGAAACTGTGATCACCATGTTTCATTTGAGAAACAAAAGGAAGACCAATGTTAGAGCATTTTGAAGAGGACAGTAGTGGGGGATGAATTGGAGAGTTCTATTTTGACAATATTATTTAAAAGTCTCATTCACTTTGGTACAACCCTTTCCTCTCTTTTATTTTGAAAAATTTCAAATTAATAGATATATTGTAAAAACTTCAAATAAAAAGCCAGCAATAAGTCAAAAAATCAGTTTTAGCACTCCTGTATCCTTCACCTAGATCTGTGTTAACATTTTGCCACATTTGTAATCTTCTGTTTATGTATGTGTGGGTGTGCACATGCATGCACACAGAACACAGTTTCTCTTTCTAAATCATGAGTAAGTTGCACAATTGATATTTTACTGCTTAATAACTGTACCATGTTATTTCCTTCACAGCTGTGTTCTCATAAATAGCCATAATATCATTATTACACTCAAGACATTTCTTAGTGATTCAAAATAGCTAATATAATGTCCATATTCAGATTCCCTTTGTCATGTCTTTCTTGCCTCCTTTATTCTATAATTCCCCATATTTGTCTTTCATGGAGTCTTTTTTTGTTTGTTTTTTTAATATTGTTCAGGCTAGTTGTAGAACAGTCTACCGGCTGGATCTCCTGAGTGTTCACTGAGCACTATTCTTTCCCTCAACATTTTATAAATATTTTCAAACATACGGAAAAGTTGAAATTCTGTAGTTAATACGCAACATATTCATACTAAGTTTCTACCATTGACAGTTGCTTTACCACATCTCTTTTTATTCTACTAACCTTTCAGTTTAGTTCAGTCTCTCAGTTGTGTCTGACTCTTCGCGACCCCATGGACTGCAGCATGCCAGGCCTCCATGTCCATCACCAACCAGCTCCTGGAGCGTGCTCAAACTCAGGTCCATTGAGTCAGTGATGCCATCCAACCATCTCATCCTCTGTCGTCACTTTCTCCTCCCGCCTTCAATCTTTCCCAGCATCAGGGTCTTTTCAGATGAGTCAATTCTTTGCATCAGGTGGCCAAAGTATTGAAGTTTCAGCTTCAGCATCAGTCCTTCTAATGAATATTCCGGACTGATTTCCTTTAGGATGGACTGGTTGGATCTCCTTGCTGTCCAAGGGACTTTCGGGTCTTTTCCAACATCACAGTTCAAATGCATCAATTCTTTTATACTCAGCTTTCTTTATAGTCCAACTTTCACATCTGTACGTGACTACTGGGAGATCCATAGCTTTGACTAGATGGGCCTTTGTTGGCAAAGTAATGTCTCTGCTTTTTAGTATGCTGTCTAGGCTGGTCATAACTTTTCTTCCAAGGAGCAGGCGTCTTTTAATTTCATGGCTGCAGTCACCATCTGCAGTGATTTTGGAGCCCCACAAAATAAAGTGTCTCACTGTTTCCATTGCTTCCCCATCTATCTGCCATGACGTGATGAGACCAGATGCCATGATCTTGGTTTGCTGAATGTTGAGTTTTAAGCCAATTTTTTCACTCCTCTTTCACTTTCATCAAGAGGCTCTTTAGTAGTTCTTCACTTTCTGCCATAAGGGTGGTGTCATCTCCATATCTGAGGTTATTGATATTTCTCCCGGTAATCTTGATTCCAGCTTGTGCTTCATCCAGCCCAGCATTTATCATGATGTACTCTGCATGTAGGTTAAATAAGCAGGGTGACAATATATAGCCTTGATGTACTCCTTTCCTGACTTGGAACCAGTCTGTTGTTCCATGTCCAGTTCTAAGTGCTGCTTCCTGACCTGCATACAGATTTCTCAGGAGGCAGGTCAGGTGGTCTGGTAGTCCCATCTCTTGAAGAATTGTCCAGTTTGTTGTGATCCACACAGTCAAAGGCTATAGAATAGTCAGAAAGCAGAAATAGATGCTTTTCTGGAACTCTCTTGCTTTTTCGATGATACAACGAATGTTGGCAATTTGATCTCTGGTTCCTCTACCTTTTCTAAAACCAGCTTGAACATTGGAAGTTTACAGTTCATATACTGTTGAAGCCTGGCTTGGAGAATTTTGAGGATTACTTTGCTAGCGTGTGAGATGAGTGCAGTTGTGTGGTAGTTTGAGCCTTCTTTGGCATTGCTTTTCTTTGGGATTGGAATGAAAACTGACCTTTTCCAGTCCTGTAGCCGCTGCTGAGTTTGTCAAATTTGCTGGCTCACCTTTAGGTCATTTTAAAAAAATCTGACAGACTTAAAAACTTTTAAAAACATTACTTAATTATTTTTGGCTGGGTCTTTGTTGCTATGTGTTGGCTTTCTCTAGGTGTGAGAGCAGCTTCTCTTGTTGCAGAGCCCTGGCTCTAGGTACACAGACTTCAGTAGTTGCAGTGAGTGGGCCTCAGTAGTTGTAGCAGATGGCCTCATAGTTGGGGCGCGTGGAATCGTCTCAGAGCAACGATCGAACTTGTGTCCCCTTCTTTGGCAAATGGATTCTCATCCATTAACAACCAGGGAAGTCCAGGTCAACTTATTTTTTGGTTCAGTTCAAAGTAAATTACAGATACCAGTAAACTTTGTCCTGTTGCAACAAGTATTGATATCATTATGTAGAATTCAGTTTTTTCCTCTGAAGTAAAATTTACCTTGAAATGGTCCCATCTGTCTTAAGTATATCTTCATTAAATGCATTTATTTTTATGGTCATATAATTCATACCAAAGTTGTGCAGCCATCACAACTAATTCTGAACGTTTTCATACTCCAAAAGAAACCCTGTACCCATTTA